GTCTGACACACTTGAGCTCCTGGCAGCAGTCACTGTGTCAGTCCACCTGGTTGAGGGTCTTCCTGTTCTCCACCATCCTTCCACCTTCCCAAGCATGCTGTCCTTCTCCAAGAAATTATATTTTAAAAACTATATGATTCTATGACTATTTAAATAATTATAGGATTCTATGACTAGATCATAGAATCATATTAAATAGAAATTAATTAGGAAGCTGGGGTAGCCTAGTGGCAAGACACTGTGCTGCAATCCAAAAGACACACAGTTCAAAGCCACCATCTGCTCTGCAGGAAAGTGATGGGCAGTCTCCTCCGGTGTGTTTAACTGCCTCTGAAAACCTGCCAGATGGTCAGCTATGTGTCAGTTCAAATTCAGTGGCACACAACCACAACACAACAGTGGTCTCGTAGGTACGGAGTTGTGCTGTTGACCCACAGGCAGGTGTCTCGCATATACCAGCTGCTCCAGTGAAGTAAGATGGGCAAGCTCCTCCTGTGTTCTTTACAGCCTTTGAAAACCCAGTGAGGGAGTCATCTGTGAGTGGTTTCTCACTCAATGGCAACAAGTTGAGTTGAGTTGAATTACTGAAACCAAGAGGCAAAAAGTACCGAACTGGATTTTAAAAAGCAATACCCCAACTGTGTGCTATTTACTGACAGATAAGAAAGTTGGTATCAGGAAAATACCCCAAAATTGGAAAACAAAGAGCACACTTATAAACAGCCTATAGGTCAAATAAAAACTAACTAGATATGGTTAAGAAAAAAGAATAGAAAATCATGTGTTTTGTAAATGGTAACTGTAAGAACATTAGATTCACTGTATGAATATCTGATTTCAAAGTAAGATATGTTACCAAAATAAAGACTGAAAAGAAATGAAGAGTCAGTTCATGAGGAAACCATAAAAGTCAGTCGTACATGTGCATGTACAAAAAACAGAAGAAGAAGTAAAAAATGGACAGAATTGCAGGAAAGACACAGACACACCGTGTGCAGGAGAGCCGTGTCAGTCACCACCTGGCAGGCTTGCGCTCTTCTCTGAGTCTCGCTAGTTTCTCACCTTCCACGGGCTTCAGTCTTATGACTTTCTATTGCTTGTTTTAATGGAAAATATTTTCGTTTTCTTTCCGTAGCAAGCTTCTGCCTTACACAGGTCTCAGTTTTTCAGGGTTTTGCTGTAGTTAAAGACTTCAACATTCCATAGTCGTTAACCAAGAAAAAGTATACAAACATCCCAGCCAGAACATGGAATGTTTAAACAATGCTATCAGCCATTTTAACCTAATTGACATTTATTGAATGTTCTACCTGACTTCAGAAGAGTATACACCCTTTTCAGGAGCACAAGGAATGCTCACAGTCATAAACCACAGGCAATTATGGCAAATATGCTGTGCCATAAACCAAGTCTCAATACAATTTTGCAGACTGAATCAAGTCAGTGTTTGTTCTCTGATAACAATGCAATTCAATTTTAAGCCAGCAATTGTTAGTATCAGAAAAAAAAATCTCAAATATATGGAAAACAAGGAACACACTTCTAAATAGCCCAGGGGTCAAATAAAATCTAAGTAGATGAACTATAAAATAATTAAGCTAAATTTAAAAGAAAAATATGGCATATAAAAATTTGTGGACTGCCAGTAATTAAATACTTGGGGAAACATAGCTCTTAATGATTATATTAACAAAATAGAATGTTTTAAAATCAATGATCTATGGCAAACTATGACTTATGCACTAAGAATAGCTTTTACAATGTTAAAGCATAGTGAGAAAGAGAGAGAGAGCATGTGTGTGAGAGAGAGTGTTCATGAACACTATGGCTCACAGGATTGAAATTATTTTCTCTCTGTCACTTTACTGGACAATCTTGTCAATTCCTGACTTAATGTGTACAGTTCAGTAAATTATAAAAATAAGAAATAAAATGCAAAGCAGGTGAAAAGAAGAAAGTGATAAAGACTCATATCCGTGGATTAGTAAAGAGAGAAACAATACAGAGAAATCAATGAAACTAAACATTAATTCTTTGGAAATATCAAGTCAAAGTTAACAGTGGAATTCAACTTTTAACCCCATCACCTTCACCCTACTTAAGTGTCATTTCTCTAAAGTGTGACCTACAACACATTTTGTTTTGTTTTATAAGAGATAAAAGCAGAGAGAACAAGATGGAACCACAAAGAAAGAAGAACCATCTCCTCTGAACCCCAAGTCCCTGCATACCAGACCTCCTAGATCCAGGGAGAGATTGATGCCAAGGCATTTGCAGGTCTCTAAGGAGTGTCAAACCTACAGATGCTAAAAGGAGATGAGGGCCTTCTTCCAGAATGGACAGAGAGCAAACTTTCTCCTAGAACCAAGACACTGAATTCAGACTTCTAGTCTCCTAAACCATGAGAGGTCAAAGCCATTGCCTTTGATAACTCTGCCATAGTAGCAGCAGAGAACCAGGACATTGCTTGGTACCAGGAGTGAGGTAGTCCTCTAATAGGTACCTAAAATGTGGAAGCACGTTTGGAATTGGAACCTAGAAGAACTTTAAGTGAGCTCAAACGCCCTTAAAATGTGTGGACTCTGTTGGCTGAGTGGGTAAGGAAGTGGCACCGGCGACGGAAAGACAGATGGTTTGAATCCATCAGCGGTTCTGGAGGAGAAAGATGAGCAATCCCTTCTGTGTGATTTTTGGCCTCTGAAAATCTGCTGGAAGATTAGCTATCAGTTAATCCTGAGTCACTGGCAATGAGTTTTGAGAGTAGAAAAAGCATAGACTGCCTTGAAGAGAATAGAATTATGGGCATCAAAGTAATTTCTAGTGAAGACTCTGAAGGAGAAATAAGAGTTTTAAAACAAAAGACAGCACAGGTAACAAGAAGCCACAGCAGAGAAATACCAGAACAACTGTGAGACTGGCATTGAGGTGGGAATTGGCACAAAGCAACACAGGAGAAAATCCACGTAGCAAGAAAGTCTTCAAGAAGGAGGCTTCCTGGCAGAGAGGGTGCCACCGGCATTAGTAAGTAGAGTTAAGCAGGCCAACATGGCTAGAGAACTGGCTGCCCGGAGACCCACTGGCAGAGTAAGATGCTTCTGGGCACTACAGAGTGAAACTCAAGAGCTTTCTGACACTTACCCAAGAGGCCCAGGCTGCCTCCTGCAGAGGTGCAGGAAACTGAAGTTTATACAACAGTGAACAGTGCTAACCTCTTTCAAAAGTGTAGGATCATAACTTCTGGGGTCTCAAAGACTAAGGCTTTGGCCTCTGGTGTTTCTCAGGGCTGGGCCACAGTTTCCTAGGTTTCAGAGTTCAATCTTTGCCAACTTGGTTTTGGAAGGTGGAGTTGCCATTAAAATGAGGCTACAGCCTATAGCTGAGTGGATAGTGTTGTCATGCATGAAGAGGCAGAAGAAAAAGACATGACAGGACCAAGAAAATGGGTCACTGCATTGCTGGATTAGAGAATGGGGCTTCCCGAAACTGAGGAAGCAGAGTTGCTATCTATGTGGGTGTGGAGGGCGGAGTTGAAGCCCAGGGTTGAGCAGCCTCCAGCCAGAATCTGGAGAACATGGTCATTACCCAGAATTTGAAGGCAGGCTGGTCTCAGAAAATAGAGGATTCTTTTCAGGCCTGGGGGACTAATGAAAATTGTTCTCCTGAATTTTGGACTTGCTTGGTAAACATTGTCCCTTCTTTCCCTAAAACCTCTCCCATTTATAGTAGAAATGCTTATCTTATGCCTCTTCCACCATTGTACTTTGGAAATAGATGATTTGTACTCAACATTCACAGATGAAAAGGGATTTTGCCAAAGGATGGGATTTGAACTTGATTAAGACTTTTGGGATGACTTGAGGGGTAAAAGTTATTTTGTATGCAGCAAGAACCTGAATTTGGGGGCAGAGGCAAAGGATGGGATGTCATATGTCATGTGTCCCTCCAAGAAATGTGTCAGCTTGTTTCAGGGTTTGAGTGTGCAATGTGGCACATACGTAATGATCTCCCATATTGTGATCTAATACGATAAGCTGATCTTCTTTAAGGGTGAATCCAAACTCCTTTATTCCATTTCATTTTCAGTGTACTAGATTGTCATGATCCCAGCCAGCTGAGATCATTTTCAACCACATTATCTAGAGAATCATTTTATTCAGATTATCTGCACTCAAGGTGGTGTTGATGAGTTCAGATATTCCCATGTCATTAACATCCTGTATATATTTCTCTGCATATCATTGGTAAAAGTGTTGAAGAAGGAACTATATCTAGCCCATTTGTAAGGTTACTTACACCCGTTGTTCTTTCCCGTTTCTGTAGTTAATGTCTTTGGAAGTTAGCTGAGCCCCATGGTGCAAGGTGAGGTGTCCTTGGCTTGTGTCAGGTGAGCTTCTTCCAGGGTGGCCCTCTTCCAACACTTCAACGTATACCATGCTCCTCTCCGCAACACCTCCCTGATGCCAATATCTGCTCTAGCAGGCCTCTTGTTTCTAGAAAAGGAAACACAAGATTATAATCCTACATTTTGATCATTTATGGGATACAACCATGAAATCAGTTTTCACCGAGCAGGGGGGAAAAAATTGAGGGAAGAAATGAAAATTGAGTTGAATTCCAGTGATTATTGTGTATGTGTGTGTATTATTGCATTGGAACCAATTCATAAGTGACCCTCCAGTGGGTTTTCAGAGGCCGTAAGTCACATGGGAAAAGACTGCCCAGCTTTCTCCTGTGGATCAGCTGCTGGATTAGAGCCATGTGCCTTTCAAATTGGAGCATAGCTACTTATGTCTGGACCACCAGAGCTTGCTATCATGAATAACATGGCTAATTAATATAACAGTTGTGACTTCAAGGCACTGTTTAAGAATTAAGCACATCTCTTGATTCTTAGGTTTTCGTTTCTTACGCATGGCTCCTCCAGTGTCAGCAAGAGGAAATTCCTTTCTAGACCAGCTTATTTAGCATGACAAGGTTCTGTCTGGTTTTGCTCTTGGCAGGAACGTACTGCCAGCAGCGAGAGGTGGAGGCCATCATGGAAGGTGATGAGGATGACACTGGCTGCTGCTGCTGTAAGCCCGGCCACTTGCCCCACCTGTTGTCCTGCAATGCTGCATTTAACCTGCGCTGGCTCACGTGGGAGATCACCCGGACGCAGTACATCCTGGAGGGCTACAGCATCATAGACAACAACGCGGCCACCTTGCTGCAGGTCTTTGACCTCAGAAGGATCCTCATCCGGTACTATATCAAGGTACTTCTCAGGGGCCCAAACGTTCATCTCAGTCATAGCATGGGCTGATAGAAGAGGCTCCTACAGAGCTTAGTAAAAAGACATGTTTTGAGTCTTCTCCTCAGCTACTGAATCAGATTCACAGCTAGGCTTGGAAACCACTTCTTTGTTGAGTAATCTTAGAGGGCGTTGGCTTAGCCGTGGGCATGTCTTGAGTCACATGCTAAGCCTACATTAGCCTGCCTACAAATAGGTGGTCAACTATTTTGCCTAAGTCTGTTTCTTCATGTCTATCACTGCACAGGTCTAGTGTATTGATGGCAATGAAACATGTGAACACTCCAAACTTTGATATTTTTTAATTGTGCCAATTTAGATTATTTATGAACTGTCCAGTTTAGAATCAGAGCTAGGTTTGTTTTGTTGTGGTTTCTTCTTCTTTTTTTTTTTTTTAAATTATTTTGGTTTCTTCTTCTTTTGTTTTCCTTAAAAAAAAATCTCATGATAACTTTAAAGTATAGCAAAATTCCATTAAAACCAGATTTGTAAATTTCCCATCCCAAGTATAAATACAAGTTATCACAAACCTTTCCCCTCACTCCTGTGGGCAGGAACAGCTTGTTTACTCAGTCACTGAGTACTCAGGATTTCTGTCCAGAATTGTTCAAGATACTTTGTTGAAATCAGCCTCCTGGGAAACAAATGTGGGATCTGACCAACAGATGTCACCCGGGTAGAGATGCTTCTGAGGAAAAGGTGCAGGTAAAGGGCTCTGGGGCCTTCCTTCTGTGGCCAGACAGTGCACGAGTGGAAAACATGGCCAGTCGATGGGCAATCCTGTAAAAAAAGCAGAAACACCACAAATGCGCATGTAATGCTGCTCAAAAGGGAGAGTGTGTCTGTAGGAGACTGCAAAACACTGTCAGCTGTGTATGGCTAAGGCAAGTGATCTAAGCGTAAGGGAGAAAACAGAGAAATAAAAAAGAGAGAGTATGGGTTTCTGGAAGCTCAAGAGTTTCAACCAGCTTCAAAACAGGACATGCAGGAGTTTGAAATAGATGCTGACGGAACCCCAATGTCTGCAGCCAAAGCTGCTGAAGTTAACCAGAAAGAGAAAGCCACTGTGCTGTGACAGCCAGAAGGCAAAGAACTCCTAGTTACCAGAAGCCTGTGTGACCACAACATGAATATTCAAAACAGAGTTAGCAGTTCATACTCACCACCTTCACGTGCGCCTGATGCATAATTTGACTCCAGATTTCTCATAAAGCAATAAATTATTTGGAATATAAAGCAGAGCACTTGTGATTTCTGAATTTGTGTATATCCCTTTTGTTGTGTGCCATCGAGTTAGAACCAATTCATAGCTGACCCTCCAGAAGATTTTCAGAGGCTGTAAATCACACAATCTTCAATTACTTGCTGTGCATCTGAGAGCCGAACAATGAATAAGGATGACAGAGGAAGAATTGGTGCCTTTGTGTTGTGGTGTTAAAAAAGAGCACTGAATATCCCATGAACTGCCAAAAGGACAAATAGATATGTCTTGGTGAAGGTGCAGCCAGAGGTCTCCTTGGAGGCAGGGGTGGTGAAGCTTCATCTCACTTACTTTGGCCACGTTGCTAGGAGAGGTTATTCCTTAAAGAGGGACATCATACTTGGAAAGACAGAGGGTCAGAAAAAAGAGAAGACCCTTTAGGAGGTGGATTGACACAGTCACTGCAGCAGTGGGCTCAAGTGTGTCAGAGATGATGACAATATGACAGCGTAGGACAGGGTTCAGGTCTGTTGTTCATTGGGTTGCTTGAGGTGACTTGAGGTCACTTGACAACAAGAAGTCACATGGGAGAAAATTGCCCATCTTTTTCCTGTGGAGAAGCTAATGGATTCGATCATCCTGCCTTTGGGTTGGTAGTGCAATGCCTTACCATAAAACCACCAGAACTCACTTTTATTCCCTAGGTCATAAAATTTTTTTCATGTATAAAGTCAGGTTCAGGAAAATGCAATGTATCAGTGAGTAGTTGGCCGGGTGATGAATCACTAAACAACACTGGTTCATGCTCTCTTAGAAGTGAGGTTCGGTGGCTCCCTGTGAAGTCCTCAGGGACCCAGGTTCCTTCCAGCTCTCAACTCCCCCATAAGTGGATCATTTTCCAAGATTCAGGTTAAGGCACCAGGTGGGAGGAAGGTTGCTGTTGCAGTGCATCCATTGCCGAGGACTTCCACTTCATCCCATTGGCCAGGACTAAGTCACAGGCTAGCAGGAAGGTGGGTCCAGAAAGTGTGTTCCAGGCACCCATGAGCTCGATGGGAACAAAGGTTCAGAGAAGGAGGTGACAGGAGTTAAGTGCTGTGTGCTCTGAGCATCCCCACTGGGCCTCAGCCTGTGCTGATTTCTCCTCCTGCAGAAACTATCTTCTTATTCTCCTCATCTCAAGTCCAATCTTCCTTTCTGACTCGAATGTCAGCCTTCCTCACATGTTGTTCTGGGTCTGTGGGTCCCCTTCTCCATTCTCTAGAGCATTTCCTCTTCACTATGACCACTTGCTGGGCACCGAAGCCACCTCTGGGGACTTCGTTCCCCTTAATTCTCTGTGGCTCTTCCTCACTGCCATCGTGTTGGTTCTAACCTAGTGACCCTTCACCAGTTTCTGAGGTTAGAAATCACAGAGGGAGGAGAGTCTTATCCTTTCCCCTCAAAGCTGCTGGTGGATTGAAAAGTCCAGAGGCACAGAGTTTTCGGGCTAGCAGTGGAGCTCAATGTGGATTAAGCTACCAGGGCTCTAAGTTCTAGTTGAATCTTGACCTGATCAAGGGCCTGAGGGACTTCCCTGAGCATGACTGAAAGGACTCAGCACTTAGCAGAAGAGTGTGGGAGTCGAGGACTCACAGAGGTGGCCCTTCCATGGGCAAGACATGTGGCCAGCCATGGCAAGGTCAGCAGATGACCATGGGGTACAATGCCTGTTGGGGTTTGCTCTCCTGGATGACATGCCTGGTTTCTCCAGAGGCCTTGGAGCTCTGTGCTGCCTCCTATTCAGACAGTACCACAGCCTCTCTCCCTGGACTGTAGCAGGTGTCCACCATGCCCCTTCTCTCTGACAAGCCTCTTGGTCCTCTGTGTGAGTTCTAAAATGGCAGTGTGTGATATGAACAGCAAATCCAGGATAAGTACAAATGGGAGAGGGCTCAGGGTGGCCCTAGAAACCTGACAAGTACTAGCAGAAGCCGCAAACTAGATGTGAGTGCTAAGTGGGCCGTACAGGTGGGTGGGAGAGGAAGGCAGTGCGGTAACATGTAACCACTGCCAGTCACCTCAGTCTCACAGGCAGCTGGATAGTTACAGACTTCTGATTCTGTAGGTCTAGTCCTCTCTTTAAGTGATTCCATAGAGGAGCTCAAATGGCCTAACAGATAAGTAGCTGAGCTGGCAACTCAAAGGTAGGTGGTTTGTATCCACCAGCTGCTCCGTGTAAGAAAGGAGGAAGGGAGAAGGAAGGAAGGAAGGAAGGAAGGAAGGAAGGAAGGAAGGAAGGAAGGAAGGAAGGAAGGAAGGAAGGAAGGAAGGAAGGAAGGAAGGAAGGAAGGAAGGAAGGAAGGAAGGAAGGAAGACGGACGGTCTCCCCCCTTGCCTTTTACAGCTTCTGAACACTTGCTGGAGGGTCAGCTATGAGTCAGTTTTGAGTTGGCAATAAGTTGGGTTAGATGATTTAATATACAATTGAGTTTGGGAGCTGCTCCAGACAATTGTGTTTAATAGGAACAGTATTTTCTAACCCCAAATCAGAGCTCAGAAATACTGAGAATTGGGGACCTACAGGGCTGCACAGTGCTGCCCTCCTTAACACCCATCATCAGTGTCAACCTCACTTGTGAGGTTTCTCTAAACACAATACTCAGACATGTATCTTTGGACTATTATCAAGGAGCAGTTAGAACAGCCGTTCACTCATCATGAAAAAATCCATTTACTGTCCTATCTGCTCCAATTTAGAGCAGCCCTGCATGTGAGAGCTGTGTCCCACGGGGTCTACAATGATGATGTTCCTACGGGTCTGCAATGGCTGTTGTTTCTATGGGTCTGCAATGGCTGATGTTCCTACAGGTCTGCGATGGCTGACATTCCCATGGGATCTACAATGGCTGATGTTTCAAAAGCAGCTCACCAGATTGCTTTTTACAGGTGATTTGAACCTCTGACCCTGCAGGTTGTTTTTTTTTTTTTTTAAGAGGATGAAGCCTGTAGTCCCTGGTTTCACAGAGCTGGCAGATTGAAGGCATTGGTCAGGTTGGTTACTAGACAGACTAAATCCCCTAGCTTCTCCAACTCCTCTGACTCATCCTCTGCTTCCACACTGGCTGGGGCCGCAGCAGCAGGAGCAGCAGTGGTGGCGGCCACACCGGCAGTGGTTACGAATGCATGTGGATCAGGCAGGAAGGCCTTGACCTTTTCAGCCAGTGGGAAGGTGTACTCAGCCTCCACAGGCAAAGCCAGTATCCGCTTGTACCCATTGATGGTTGAGGGGGGCACGGAGGTCATAGTTGGGTAATCAGTGAATCTGCAGACACACGCTGTTAATGCTGCGGACGCCCTCTAGGAAGCGGGGTGCAGAGTCTCCTCTGTGATGTCGAGCACTTCAGGACTGCAGGTGCTGCAGTTGTCAAACACCTGCTGGATGATCAGCCCAAAGGGGGAATGTTGGGCATGATCAGCAGGTGGCCTCGCTGGCTCCCACCTTGTCTCCAGTCTCAATCAGCTGCACATCACTCGGGATTTTGATGGTGCCTCTGGAGAGCTCAGTGGGGATGCCCAAAGCCTGGAAGAAGGAGGTCTTCTTGGGGCCCACACCAGTGTTCTGGGCCGGAGCGTAACCTCACATGGAGCGATGGCACAAGCACAGGTGGCACCTGGTACCCTGATAGCCAGCAGCATGTCGCTGAGCTTGGTGAGATCCTCCTTGGTGAGCACAAACCCCACGTTCCCTCAGATGTGAGGCAGCAGCTCCTCCTGGACTAAG